GCATTTATGTAGTCATAATAAGCCTTCAATATCTCAGTTAGGGAAGGACAATCTCTCAAATGACAAATGGACCTTCGTATTAACTGTGCAGATTAGACTATCAAAGGAAGATGAACAGTGTGGATGCACTCACCAAGAATTTCATCAAAGATTTTGTACAGGCCGGGAACGTAGGTGATTTCCCTCTGGTTCATTCCAAGGTCTTCGTCAAAAACCCACAGTTGCTGAAGAAAGATACAAACCATTCTGAGTTCAGAGTGGACGACACATTGGCAGCAGTGACCAAAATTCTGCTCACAATACACAAATGAGCAGATAGGTCCACATAGTCATTTGTCAACTTATTATTAGCAGAAATAGATGAACACATTTAAATGCTGATATTCATTTTTGATTACTGACCAATATGTGGAGGGATATAAAGACAAACAATACTTTTAGTAGTGATTAAACTTTTGATTATTCTTTTAATCATTTAGCACAATAAAGAGTGTCTCTTCTTATTTAAAACGTTTGAACAAGCAAATGATGAATTACTTAAATTAATTACCAAAATTGACTTTCAGCTGTCAGCACATAAACCTGAATTGGATACTAAACCACATGACAGAAAACAGACTAATCTCCAGTTGGTGGCGAGTGTGCATAATAATTAGCTATTATCTAATGACCTTTGGTCCCACATGCATGACCTCGTCATCTAGCTGGCATTAGCCTATATCGCTACATAGCCTACCTATCACTAAATGTCTTTTTTTTTTTTTTTAACAGTTAGCAGTTTATGCAGACTGAGGCAGAAAAAAAAAAAGAGAAAAAGAGGGACATTACTACCCTTAAACAAATAATTTATATAAAGATTATTGCAAAACTAAGAAGCAAACTCAGTAAAGGAACAGCTTTTTGCCTTTAGTTTTTTTGTGTTGTTCACACAGGCCAGGACAGAAGCTGCAATTCTCATGCTATATTTAGTCTGAGAAACTCTGCAAGAAAGGAAGTTACGTATTGCACAACAAGACCGTTTACTACAACAAGCTGCTGAGTGATCTTGTTGTCTTCTCCTCAGCGAGGAGAGTAGTTCTCTAATTTCAGCCTAGAGGTGACCAATTGAACAATGTTTCTTTCAGGAATCTGTTGTAATTTGCAAGATGAGCAAAATACCTAAAAGTAAGAGGAATAATCCAGATGTTTAGTTTATCACTGCTGCACAAATCCTCACAGCAGAGCGCTCTGTCTGTCCTACACCAGTAATAAACACCCCATTACATGTCAAACTGATTCACAGATGTTTTATTTAATGTTTGTGTTTTATATGGGTTAAAATATGATTTGAATGTGTTAATATTACTCCATTATCTGTGCGGTTGCAATGACACCCAGTAAGTACCAACAGCCCAAAGGCAGTGGGAATAGCTGAAGCATCAACCAACTTTATATGAGTGGGGTGGGCTGGGCAGAAAATGTTACTGAGTCCTCAGTTGGCAGGTTGCCTGGGGATCTTTTACAAAGGAATGTCTAGATGCCCTCTTGTTACATATTGCTAACACATAAAATGAACAATGAACTACAGAATTAAGAATTACAGTGTGAACGGGACTCGTCGGTGAACAACAGAAGGCAGTTTGCTCTAGACTAACCTGGGTGATGGGCTCCACGCTGCCGATGTATGTGTCTGGACGGAGAAGAATGTGCTCGAGCTGGGTCTTCTTCTGGTACACTCGCTCCACAGACAACTTGGAGCCTGCCTTGTCTTTCTTGCCCCCTTCCATCTTGCCAGCATCACCTCTGCCATTCGCAGCCTCCTGTTTGGCAGAATTTGTAATGTTATTAATACATAAGTCTGTTAAAAACACAGGACCTGCCAGGAAGATGATTCTGCTGAGCTGTGCTGTTGACAGCAGATTATCGGTGCTCACCACCACAGGGAGAACGCCCCGGTCCTCTCTGTGGCTCTGGTGACAGATAGTCAACAGAAGCAAACTACTGGCCATTATACTGTGACTGGAAGGCAGGGGTAGCTCAAGTTGTGTTTACACTGCAGTGAGCTTTCAATCTTCTTTCTATTCCAAACTACTTTCTGATGAGTGGTTCACATCTTGCCCTTCCCATCACTGTATGAATGTGTGAATGGATGAATGTGACATGTAATGTAAAGGGCCCCGAGTGGTCAGAAGACTAGAGAGGCACTATATAAGCCATATATTACCATTTAAGGGATACCAGCCACTAGCCCAATATAACAACTCCAAATATTTGGAAATATTAAATACCAAGCTCTAATTGTTGGTGAGCATAAGATGTGAGATTTTTGTAACATTGAAAAGGCAATTCATCAGAATCAATTACAAGTTTTTTTTATATATTTTTATATAAACATTTAATTTAATACATTTCATATTTCATATGCAAGACAAAAAAAAGAAGCATTTTGTCTCATGGATTGCAAAAATGTAAACAGTAAACATCTCTAAAAACTGAATCAGGTAAAGATTTCCAAAATACCAATGCTTGACATGCATGATATTTTTCCACAATTTACAAATCATGTCCTATTACATGGCAGTGGGTTTAAAGTAGTGCTGCACGATATGGTAAAAAAAAGTTTTGACAGATATTTCTACTGGAATAACACGATTTCTTACATCTGGAGAACAAGATTTGTAGACCAGGAAATCTCTGCATCCCTTCATTATAATGTTGTCAGCTCACCTTTATCAAAACATTACAGCTTCTTCTATTTGCATATTGCACTTGGCCACATTCTAATTTCGATAATATTTCAATTAATTGTGCAGCTCTAGTTTAACGGCTGGAATGACTGGAAAGATTCTCCCGCTTGTCCCCTTGTTCAAAATAAAACAGGAAATCAATACAGGACAGACAGCTTTTACAGGTCAATCCATGTGAGGATGTTCACGATTATCACGATTACCGTGATAGTGGAAATCACCACAATATAGAGTTTCTTATCACAATACGTAATAACATTCTATTTTCTGCCATCCCTAGTCTAGTGTACTGTTACACTGAGTGTCTAACTTAAAAGGCAAATAAACAATTGCCTATGAAACCACACTTGTTAGTGCCCATGTTAATGAAGGTGCTCATAAAATGACTATGCATCAGACTCAGAATCACTTTATTGGCCAGGTATGTTTGTGCATACAAGGAATTTGACTCCGGTTTTACGTTGCTCTCAATGTACAAACACAGAGTAACAGCACACATAAACAGAACAAGTTCAACAAAAAAGACATTGACTCATATGTACAGATATATCTAAACAAGCATTGGTAGAAAGTAGACAATAAATACTGGAATAAATACCTGATACACTCAGTGCACAAAAAGACCAGAAGTGGACAGGACCTTTGTATTTAGGGGTGTAAGAAAATAATACACTATTTTATTTTGTGATATTGTACTGATTCTCACTGAATCAATCACTAGATAGCAGTGTTGTAAATATAAATGCAGATCTTACTGTTGTGTTTTTTAACTCCGGTTTCATTCATATGGTGGAGACATGAGGTTCACTGAGATAGGACTTTGCATTCACTGTATATAATGGAATAAGCAACGTACAGTGAGTTAAAGTTAGCACGTAACGTTAGTGTTCTAGTGTATGTTAAATGTACAAGGCAACTTTCTATGGAAGCCAATTCCCGCCAATGTGACAGAAAACAATCTGTAAATCAGTATAATGACAAACTATTGACTTGGTATCTTAAAATAATGAGAAATCTTTACAATATTTTGACTTCGTATCTCAGAATAGTTTCTCATTATTGAGATACGAAGTCAAAATAATGAGGTACCAATTCAAAATGTTAAAAACGTTTATTATTTTGAGATACTAAGTCATTATTTTGAGAAATATTTTGGCAGAAATGCGCTTCCATAACTTTCGCCCGGTAGCCAAGTTTTCTTCGTTTAGTTTCATTCGGTCTTTATTTTGAGGACCCGGAACTGCTGAGGCGAGCTGTAATGGCAGTCTCTGCGTCTATCGGGTGTTGATGTTTGTGAAACCGGTCATGTATCAGGGGCTACAGCCTTTGTGACCCGGTCAGGATTTACACTGACACCGCAGCTGGCTGCTCTTTAACTAGCGTAGCCTCCATATGAGAATAGACACTGCCGTTACTGACTTGCTAAGATATTTAAACGCTAGCTAAAGCTTCAAGCGACCCGGCTCCTTGTGTTAAGGTGAACATAACGCGTTTATGTCATAAAAACATCATATAGTTAATAAAACTATAAGTTAGTTGGATGTACGATAAACTAACTTACCATCCAAGCGAGCCCCCCGCTTCCTGCTGCGCCGTTGGACATCTTCCTTTGTGATCCTAATGTTTGTCCTCAAATGTCTTAAAATGTCTTCAATTCCAGTGAAACTAAAAGTCCGTCTGCATAACAAATGTCTCAGTTGCGGAAAGGAACCCAGACCTGTTTATCTCCCATGTTCCTTCTCCGTTCGCTTTTAAGATAATCCTTTGAATGTAGCAAAAGCAGAGGAGGGGAGAGTAACGCGGCTATTGTTAAAATCGACAAGCGGTGGCACAGTTGGGCCTAAACTTCCAACAAAGATGCTAACCGGGCTACTTGCTACAAAATAAATACTGTACAAAACGCATGCATTAAAATAGGTTTACAATTTTATGTGAAAACTCAACTGAATAAAATATGAGTTTAACAGAATTGCTCTGAAAACGATACACTTAAATACTTTTCATTTAGAAACAAAACGAATATTAGCTAGCAACAGCGCCCGCTGTCCGGCTCCTCCATCTGCAAGATAGACGGCAAATCGTCTCGGGGATAAAGCGACCAATCAGGTGGCTGCTTTTTAAAGGCACCGGCATTTGGACCAATAAGAGAAGTCAACATTTAGTGACGCATATTCTTTTTTTCAACGCAAGATGGCGGCAAAAATCCACTCAATCTTCATAAGACCAGACAATGTGTAATGTAATGCATAGCTTAATACTAAACTCGACAACCAGACTGGAAAAATATCTTTATTATACCACCATACATTTTGAGCCCTTTCCATCACACCAACATTCATTTGCTCCATTTATAATTATACACATGTAGGTAGCCTGGCGGCATGACACGCTGACCAATAATAAATAATAAAATAGTTTATTACTGGTAGGAGAACTAAAGCAACCTGATGCTGATGAGGCATCAACCCTACGCATCACAAATAACAGACACATTCACAGTTGATGTTAAAGAAACTATGGCTTTATGGTTAAAACTCCTTACAGGTATATTGTAGACTGCACATCTTATAGGTTATTTGGCCCTCAGTCAAATAAAAAAATAGATTAAATGTTTGACAACATCTGTACCTGCAATAGGTACAAAATTCATGAGTTCATTTGTCAATCATTAGGCCATGCGTATTTAATCATCCAGAAGGGCTGACACAAATTTAATATTACACTGATTTGTCATCAAACAAAACCAAACAGCTCTGAACTTGTCAAAGCAGTCGACTGTGAAAACAAATTAGGGGTCCAAGTTTTGTTGAGTAAAACATATGTTAAGCGTCTTCTAAGTGGATAAGAATTTCAAATGAAGTCTCCTCTGTCTGCTTCAAGCTTTGTCTGAAGAGCTGAGTGTGCTGCCATGACGTCTCCCCTTCTCCACCACTGAGTCCTGCCACAACAATGAACTCAGAGGAGCCGGACAGACTCTGGAACGACTGCATCTTCCCATCTGAGGGTTCAAAGGCAGCAGAGAAAATTATTAGGAGGGGTCGTGTTACAGAATCACACTTAAGAGTTTTTCATCAAAATATCTATTGCGTAACCATACCTCCAGAGAACTCTGTAGTAATCGGGCCTGCCTGCAACTGCCAGCAGACTTTCCCAGAGTGGAAGGTCTGGCTACTGGCCATGACTGAAAGAGACTTTATCTTCAGTCCTGCTGGAGCAAAGTCAAACTTCCAGCTGATTCTTCCCATAGAGGAGCCTTCTGTTCGAGCTATGTACACCTGGAGAAAGAAGAACAGTCTGGTCACGTTGCTCCAGGATCTCAAAAAATGAACTGAATTTATTCTACATTCTGTCATTACTTTACAACTCACTGTACGTCTTCTTTGTGTTAGATTTCCAGTCTGTTTCTAATCTTAATCCTATTCACAATTAAGTTCTCAAACTGCAGCATCTTGCTTTAGAAAGTACTTATTTCAGTGCTGGTGGGATGACTGGTCTGTGAAAAATAGAAGTTGCTTCCTCTAACATTGGCCCTGTTTAGATCTGGCATTAACATGTGTCTTGGGTGATCCAATCACAAGTGGACGGCTATAAGTACAAGTGTGAATGATACCAAGACACATTGAGGACACAGTGAGATTTGATCACTCAGACACACAACATATACTGTCTGATTTCCATTAAGTAATGTCTGGGCTCTCTTACCTGCCGAGATAAGCAGCAGATGTTTGTGGACACACTGTCTATTTCAACTGATTTCACCACTGAACTAGTAACCACAATATCCCCAGACTCCCTTTAAAAAAAGCATAATTTAGTGAGTTGTTGAGTGAGGAGGAAGTTTATCCACGAAATTCATTATTTATTTTTATCTTCACTATTTGTGCCTTCTTGTAAATTCGGCAAATGTTACGCATTTAAGTTATTTATTTCTTTGTGTAAAAAACACTGTCTGTTTTGTTGTGAGATCCGATCACAAGTGGTCACTCGAGATGCTTTTTTAAATGCCAGGTGTGAACGGGGCCATAGACATTCACTCATGTCTTACCTGTAATTCTCACAGTCTGATTAAACCAAACAATGACCACAACTTGTTTCTAAATGGAAATGTGGCCTATTAGCATTGGAACAGAGTGTGAACTTTTCATTTAAAAAGGGGCACTCCACCCGTTCTACATTCATTACCGGGACTTATTTAAATGTGAAAACAGTTTTATTATGTAAGCCGTCCACCAACCGGGCATATCAAACTGTTTATTGCCCGGCCTCTCGGTGATTATCCCTTACATAACTTTTAAATGGAGAGCCATAGAATTCGGTTCAGACATTCATGGTGCCCAGAGGATGAATCCTAATGAATTTAGTGATTCCCTAACCTTTCCTTTAGCGCTACTAGCAGGTCAAAGGTTTGACATATCCTGTAAAATAACTCTACATCTTCTGGATGGATTGGTACAAAATGTGTACAGGCAACAAGAACATTAATCGTTAATACACTGATGCCAAAAAGTATCAGTGCAAGTCAGTTCTTCTTTGCATCTGATAAACGATCCTACCTACAGCCAAGTTTTAAACAAAATACCTAGGTTTATGTAGGTGATCTGAGTGAGGGGCTATGATACAAACATTTCCAGGACAACACAGATTATTTCTTCATTTTAATCATTTTCTACATGTTTCCATGACTGGAAAACTAGTCTTAAATTATTCAGGTTATGTGGGAACCCTGAAAACATTCTTATCAGCTTCAGCTGAACCTTGTGTTCAGTGCTAATCAGCAAATGTTAGGTGGTGATAATGGTAAACATTACACAGCCGAGTGCACGGTCCCCAGTCCCTTTAAAAAAAAAAAATCATAAAACACAGATTGCACCTGCTGTGCCTCATCAATCATGTTAGCATTGGTTAGCATACTGGCGTTAGAGCTTAGCTCAAAGCATCTCTGTGTCAAGGACGTCGTAGATACACAGAATGCTGAAAAAATCATGTTCAAACTGAAAACCATGGGTTTGTTAATCAAACAATATTAAACGTACCATCTGCCAGTCACTCTCCACCTTTCTGAAGACAGAGTCCTTGTTCCACACACACTGATCCCAGCTCTGAATCACTTCAGAGTCGTTGGACACTCGACAGTACTGGTCTTTGGTGGCACTGTAGCGCACATGCAGTAACCGATCACCCTTCTCTTTCTCAGTAGGAGTAAACACATAACCATCAGCCTGAGAAAACACACACATACACACTCTTTCAGTCAAATACTGATTTGAATTATACTATCAAGCTATGATACATCATAACCAATAGAACTGTCGTTTAGAGCTACAAAACAATATCTATGTTATGTTAGTAATATAATATAATAATGTACTTTTCCTTTAAAGCTTTTTAATACGGAAACAAGTTCATGTATCTGTAATGACCATCAAAATATTGATCCCAAGCCCATTTTTTTTAAATTAAATATTCATATACATATATTATTAATCAATAATTAAAGCAGATATAACAAAATATCAGTAGATCCATGCTGCTAAGCTAGATAACAATAACATACATAATCCTGTACCTGTGTAGAGGTCCCTGAGTCAGCCCCTCTAGTCTCTCCACGTGCTATCCTCCAGGCCAGAGAGCCAGAGTTGCGTCCACCCAGCTCTCCTGGTTTTGGCTTCTTGGGGGAAATGAACTCCACCAGCTCGACAAGCAGCCTCTCCGTCAGCTCCTTCTTCCTTTCTGGACTCAGGGACTGCTGCCTCTTTGGTGTCAGAGCAGATGGAAGGCAGTTTACATCAGAGTCACCAGAAAAGAGTCTCATGTGGGTTTAAAAGGGTTCAGACTTACAGAGGCATTGAGGCCATTGATGGTGTGCAGCAGCCACGTCTCCTGAACCCTGGTCCTTCTCGACAAAACCTCTGGATGTTTGCAGGAATACCTCCAGGTCACATCGACAACCTGCATCACACACACACACACGCTGAAGTACATGAACTGTCTGCTGATTCTGGAAGAGTCTAAACAACAGTATCAGTGCACAGCCCTTTGCAGATTGGCCCAAAGGGGGCGCTAGAAAACAGAAAATCACAAGCACCACATAAAATAACAAAACAAATAACATGAGAAGACAACAAGATAGCTATTCCATAACCCTCCAAATCAAACAGCATATCACTGCTAATTCTAACCTCATTGTAAAAACTCTAGGGACCAGCTGTTTAAGGAAATACTGAGCCTGTTGTTAAAATAAACTCTATATTTAAGCAGTTTTGAAAAATGACGTCTTCAGAATGAACCATTGGGCTAGGGGCTGAGTGCAACCGAGTAGGACTCATTGTTGGTTCATTTCATAGGATTTGTTGACAGGAGCCTGCAGTTACGGCAAACCTTTATAAAAAAAAAATAACTTCTGGAAATATTGGCTGAAATTTGTCAGTGCTTCTAACGGTAATACATGACAGATAATCTGGGTGAAAAATAAATTAAAAAAATCCTCTGGCCTCCTCCTTAGGTGCTTCCAATGACATTTGCTACGCAATTCCACTGGGCCTGGAATGCAAAACGGCCAATCAGCAGGATTGATAGAAAGACTCTGTGTTTGGGTGGTTTTGAAGAGAGTTGATTGTTGCAGTC